ATATCAGTGTCCGAGAATCGACCGACCGGACCAGCGAAGACAAACCACGGAGTACACCGAGCGCTTCAGACAGTGATTTCACGTGAGACACGTGATGCTCGGTGTGGAAGAGAACACTACGTTTTTTCTCCATGGCGTTCCCGTGGAACCTCCAGCTTGGTATCCTCCAAAACCAAACACACTGACTGTTTTGAATTGCAACTAGAGGACACGAGCAATACTAAACCAAATGAGATCGGGCGTGGTCGCTGTGAAGACCAACAGAGGACAGGACATGGACCTAATCCAGTGCAACCAAAGTGTTTCCATGCACGATGGACACAGCAAGGCAATAAACTGTGGGTAGAGTAAAATAAGCCCTGAACACTCGCAAAGAAGCAGCTTAAGTTGTTACTCTTCATTATTATTAACATAGCTTAAGATATATCGTCAAAAGGCTACATTTTTACTTTTTATTACAAATTTTCTTTTCTTTTGGGAAGAACTCTGGTTAATTGTGCGGTAGTTTGTCATTAGAAGTTTTTCTAATGACACACAATTTATAACAGTAAATACAGGAGATAGAGCACATAAACGCATATCAGATGTGTAATGGCAAATTATTTAAAAAAAAAAAGGTGGTAAAATTACATCCACTAACGTTAATAGCAGTACACCAAAAGATTAGCAATAAAATGAAAGTATGAATGTATGATTCACAATAGAAACTCCTCTGCCAATTATAATGACTTGGCACAAATTTTTTTACAATCAGTAAACAGTTATTCATCTATCCAACCATCGAATTTAATTAGATACAAAGCTACTCTATTGGTGTTACAATAAGAATATGTAGTTAAATAAATTATACACCAAAAATAACACAAAAATAGCTTTTAGTAAAGAACTTTATCTAAGGTCAATGGATATTAAAATGATAAGTGATATAACATTATTTTCATACATAAAATTAATGCAATTAAAAAATATATGGCTATTCTAAAAATTGTCATTTATGTACCTACTATATGTCTGTAAAAAAATATAAAAATGAATTTTTTATTAAAAAACATGAATATAATCTTCTAGGCAGAATTATCTTAAATGGAAACTCATTTTGGCCTTTAGTCAATTTTTCTCTTTCATAATTTCCAAATAAAGGATGTTTCTGAAGAAAGGATCTGAGGTATGTAAAAATGGTATAACAGAAACTTGTCAAAAAGAAGATCAAATAAATACAAGAGAAACAACCAGAAAATGAAATGGTAAAGTATTATATTAAACCACTAGGTATATACCTGATTACAAAATTAGTGTATTATCTCAGAAAAGATAATAATATACAATTCTTTCTTCTCATTTCCCTTGTTTTCTTCAGTTCTAATATTTTGATAGACTATTTGTTTGAATGTTGGTTTTCATCTGCATGACATTGTCTGAGCCTCTTTATGAGGGTTGCCTTAGTTTTGCATATAGACATAAAGACAAAAAATATATAGACTTAAAGTAATTTATTGCTTTTCAAAATATGTCCCGCCAAGATCAATACACTTTACAATACGACTGGAATTGCTGCCCATATATTGAATTCTTAATCTATGGGAATGTAAAGAAGTTGTTAGGTCTTGGGTCAGGGTTATATGGTGGATGGTTTAACAATTCGTTTTGAAGCTCCAAAAGCTCTATTATCTTTTGGACAGTGTGAGGACTTACAATGTCCTGATGTAGGATGATTTGATGTTGTTTGTGGCTTTGTTAGTGTTTTGCGATAACTTCTGGTAAACAAATAGTTATATACCAATCATAAGTAACTGTTGGTAATTGTTGTTGTATTTCATTGTAAATAGTTCTACCATTGAAGTAAATAAATTAATAACTGTTCTTCAATCTTTGAAATCAATTGTTGCCAGATGACCAGATTTTGACACAAAAGTTGCGACCATTTTCTTTGACACACTTTGAGAACAGATCAGTTTTGTTGGTTTTTTTTTTTTGGTTTTTTGAACACCCACACAGCAGATTGACGTTTATTTTAAAATTTGTAGGAGTAAATCCAAGATTCATTGCCACTAACTACAACACTATAAACATTTTTTGAGCTTCCTTTGTTGAACTGTTCCAATGTTCTTCAACATCAATTGCCATAACCGCTTTTTGCTCTTCTGTAAGCCAAAGCTATGGCGAAAACCAACTTTGTAACACCCTGTTCTTCATGTAGGATATATTGGATATTTTGTAGGTCTTTCAAATGCCCAAAGAGTATGTTACACAGCAGTCTTCCTTAATAAACTGACAAACCTCATCAATGTTTTGCTGTGCTACTGCTGTTTTGAGTGGACCTGGCCTGGATTGTTCGATGAGACTGGAACAATGTTAAAATTCCCAATACTAGCAGAAAATAGTTGAATGATGTAATGCTTCATTCCCTAACACAGAAACCATTTCAGCAAGATATTGCTGTTGGGGATAATCCTCTATGAAAATTGTAAAAATTATTGCCCAAAAATGTTCTCTGCTAAGATCCATTTCATCTCCTTTTTGGTCTATGGTTCTTCTATCCCACAAATAGTTGTCATTTTTTAACTCCTTATTCTGTCTCCATGCTTGGTTTGTTATCTTGTGTAGAATTTTCATTTCAGCTGTAACTTTACCTTTAACAATAATCTTTGTTTTGGTTGTATCTGCTTGTGTTTCCACAGTGAATGCCATTATCAGCCTTATTGTAGATTTGTTTATCCTTGTTTTTGTTTCTGTTTTAAAATATTTGTTTTTTAATACACCACTTTTTCATACATCTTGCTTCACTCTTTGGTAAATAGATAATTTGATTCCCAAATATCCTACCACTAGTAAGATATTTTGTTTGTTCTAATATTTTGTTGCTAACAACCAATTTACACTCAAATGCATAAAAACAGCAGTTTTATTTTTTCATGACTCAACTGTGATATTTTTTTTTTGAAAAATTAGAAAGAAAATAATTCAGATTAAATCAAATAATTCAGATTTCTGAATCCATATTGAATTTATACATTACATTACTTATACATTGTTTTCACATTAATAAAGCATTGTATTTTATGTGTTGTTTAATTTGGTCATATGTAAAAAATCAAGATTGCCATAATAAAATATTGCTTCAGTTTATTTGATAATTATATTATTCTTGTAATGTAAGTTTGGGAAAAGTTTTATTCATTCCCAAAATGGTTTTGAATAGTGAAGACAGTACTAGAGCAGCTCTTTAAGAAGAGGGGTTAAATAATCAATATGTTGAGAAAAGTAGTTCTTATATACAGACAGTGAAGCAGCAATTTAAAGGAAATGTGTACCAAAAATGTCTGTGAGGGATTGATACTGTAAAATTCCCAATGCTCATAAGTTTATTGTTTTGAAGGTCAAGAAATCAGCACATAAGTAATATTGGAGCAGACCAAAAATCTACTTTTGGAAGTTTAGGAAATAATATAAGTAAGTACATAGTACATCACTGGTAAAGTAAGGTTGGGTTAAAGACAGTAACATCTAGGTTAAAGACAGGAATGTCTAGAAGCAAAAATGTCTAGAAGCAAAACGCCATGTTTATGTAATATTACAATATATTTGGGGTTTATAAGCTGTGATCTGGAATTTCTGCTTCTTATGGATATCTCTTTCACAACTGCAGAGCTGGAGCTGGTAAAGATGTAATATCCCACTTTTTGATCAATCACTGAAATGATCACAATAGAAGTGTAAGGCTTTAAATGGTGCTATTAGCTTCAAAATACAAGAAAATATGGACAGTATGGGTTTACCTTCTGAATTATCTAAGACCAATCTAAACCTAAGTCTTGATGCCTTTTTTATTTTCTGATATCCATAATCCTATTTAAAAATATATCTTCATTCTTTCTTGTAATTTATTCATAACAACTCAATTGTTTAATGATAGTTTTCTTAAAAATCAGTTTATGATTTGGGTTTCTAATTCCTTGATTTCAACTGTATTAATTTTACTTTACAGCTTTATTTGGTACTCAGTGATAATCATAACATTTTGTGAATCGTTGTTCTTCAGTTTTTATATTACTCTTATATTGATCCTAGACATTTCCTGAACAAAACTGCTGTTAAATAAATAAAAACTGTTTTACTATGGGATCAAGTAAGTATGGAACATGATAAATGACACTGAACCTAAAATCAACTTTGGTTCAGTTTATATTAAATTAAATAATTTTCTTTTGAATTTGATTTTACCAATAATAATAGACTAAATAACTCAATGAAATATCTCATCATAAGATAAAACAGAAAATAAAAAAATATTAGCATGGTACATGTATTACAAATATGAATCAATTTCCTAAATTATATCAGAGCCTATAACGAAAAACAGCGAAACTATATTTTTATTGTGGAAATGTTGGAAATATAGATTAGATTGTGAGATAATATAATCAGTAAGCTGAGTAATTAATCAATATTATAAGAAACCATAGAGAGACATAAAATGCTAATAAAATAAATGTGTTTTTTATGAGATAATGTTAACAGAATGCTGGTATTACATTGTCTTACATTAATACCTTAAATAAAAAGTTATTTCTGATCATTTCAAGTCTAATGAAAAAATTTGAATTCCAGTATTCAAAATATATGTATTTATAGATGTAAGTGTCTAAATTAAAATGTGGTTGAATCGCTGTTAAGCATAACAGATAATTATTTGATTGTTTACTATTTATTAAAACAACACAGTCAGATCAAATGTGTAATTTTTGATTAAAGGTTACCGCAAAAATAAAGAACGTGATATCAAACATGTATCTTAATGAGACAAGGTACGAAATGATAATCATCATCTTATAATCATCTACTTCGTAAAACGTAACATATAATTAACTATAATCTATTGTACAAAAAACTGTATGCGACACAATAAAGAAACATTCTTCACACCACGATGACGTAAAGGGAAAATAATGACCTCGTCAATAACAAAAGGTGGTATTTTAATCAAACATTGTTCCACTTACCGCTATCGAAATGCAATTTTCATCTGCTCCTTGGGGAAACTTGACTACGAATTTCGACCCAGCCTTTTCTTCGGAGTCATTTAAGGGTCGAAATCTGCACACTACTTTAATACTGTCCTCTGCGGGTATTTCCCGATCGACCGACATTTTTCCTAAATTTAAATTACTCACAGCACTAATTACATCAAATCATAACTTATTAATTATATATTTGCACTGAAAAATATGTCTTTTTCCTCAAAAGTGACTTTACACGAAATGGACAGACATCTTGGTTCCTTTGATCCGCTGTCATCGGAAAATATCCGAGAATAGTAGTGGAGCAGTCAACTGTCAAAAGTAAACGTTTCATCGATCGGTAGAAAAAATCTGACTTTCTCTTTCTATCCCGCAACATGTAAAAGATAAATGCTGCGGTATTCTATTGGCATGGAGTCCCACCAACTATATATCTGTCTTTCTTTTGACCTTAAATATTCATGGACTTCTGGCAAAATAAAGTTTTACGAGGGTGTGGCGGAAAGTATCGGTTTTCTGTCAACCCATATTTAAATTGAAAAACGATAAGATTTTTACAAGACTTATTACTTTTTTTATATTCTATACAATTACTAACGTAAAAGTAATATTATGTACAAATTTCAGCAATTATTAAAAAGTGATATTTACCTTAAGAGTATGCAACATACATTACGAGTATACTTCTATTATATTTTAAGTTGAAAATAAGAAGTACCTATTATATAAAAAAGTACAGAAAGGAGAAATATTATTAATAAATAATATTCAGCTTTCTTGATATGTTAGCTATTCTACAACAGCTTAGTACATCCAATAATGCATCTGGCTTTCCTTGATATGAGATTATCTTACGGTTTTCCATCCTAACCTAACCTAATCAACAGTAACGTGTTTAATCAATTGGCCATTTTTTTCACCACGAAAAGAGCAAAGCCAGTATAAATAAAAACCACGTAGATTGTTTACAAAATAAAAATGCACTTTCTGATTTTTATATTTATTTGAACACTTTGTGTTGATACATGAATATATTTATAACAAAATCAACGTAACAAACTACATAAATATTTTTACGACTTTCGTACGGAAGTATGCACTGACTAAAATCCATCCCAAAATCACAAATTTGGTTCATAACTAGGGATTTTAATTGCTCAATTTTAACTGCTACGCTTATTGTACATCACAAAACAAGATGATTCTGAGATACTTCAACAACGGTTAAGAAAATATGTAAAATTTGTTATTATTTATTATTAAACACCTATATTGAGGAAACTTATTGTAGTATTTCTTTTACAGGAATTAAATATGTAGTATCACAAAAAATATACAAGTGCTTTCGTTTCTAACGTTTTAAGTGTAAACTACATTATTATAACATTATACTGTTTTTTTATGAACTTAATTTTGAATTTGATATCAAGATTTTGAACTATTTAAATGTAACTACACTTTGATTGCACAATGTAACTACACAATGCATCTCATAAATTTTATAACGTCAAAAAACAATACTACCAATATGGTGCCAAAAGTTGATCGAAAACCGCTTAGTTTTCTTACCGTTAGAAGTTTTAGCTGTTTATTTTTAAATTTTCAAATAATTTAATAAAATAATAAGATAGTGAAGCGAAAAATTTTGAATGCTCAAGCTGAAATAATACACTCATTGTTAAAATTTGCTCAGCGAGAAGCAGCTGCTTATAAACCTATTATTGATTTTAAAAAGTGCAAGAACGTGCGGCTAGCGTTACAGGTAATTTGAGAAATCATCTAATAAGAAGAAAAATAATCTGAGATTTTGGGGGTTGCATTTTCAGGAGTTTCTGTGTAGAATCAAAAATATTGCAGAGGAGGGTCGAGAAATTGAAGCAGGAAAAATAATCTGAGATGCTGGGGTTCCGTTTTCAGGAGTTTTTGTGTGCAGAATCAAAAATATTGCAAAGGAGGACCGAGAAATTAAAGCAGGAAGCGGTTTTATAGCTCGTAACAAGAGGCGGAAAAGATCTTCAAAAATAAAATTCAAAAACAGTTGAGCAAGATTTATTGTGTTTACTGATGAAACGTATTTACTTTCAAGCCTTATCGCATTAATAGTTAAAGTGATACACCAAATAGTGGGCTTAAAATAGGCCAATCTCTAAATTTTAAAACTTGGAAAACTATGAATACGATAATCATGAACTAGCCTATTTTTGTCCACTGCTTAACTTAGGCCTTCCGTAAAATTGTCCACCGATTTCTATTTTGCATCCACTTTTTGGTGATTCGCTTTATATCATTTGTACATCTAGTCGGTGGTCGTCATGCTTCGATATCCCTCTTGTCTTGGTACCGATTCAAGAATATTTCTGGTCCATGTATCATTCGTCAATCTGGCAACATGTCAGGCCCAAGCCCATTTAGCCATAGCTATTTTGTCAACTCCAGTTCTTCTTCTTATTTCTAGGTTTGGTACTTTATCCCTAATGGTAATACCTAACATTGATCTTTTCATAGCCTGTTGTGTAACTCTTATTTTATTTATTGTTTCTTTGGAAAGTTAGTTAGTGTTTCTGCACCATAATGTATGGACCGGTAAAACACATTGGTTAAAAACCTTTCTTTTTAAACAAACTGGAATATTAGAAAATGTTTCTCAATATATCAAAGGCAGCCCATATGAGACTGATCCTTTTTTTGTATTTCAGTTGTCTGATTAGTTCGGCTTAAGCGAATCTCATGCTCTAGATATTTGTAAGCTATTAATGGTCGATGCTATGGCTTTCGATCTTAATTTTCTCGCTGTCTACAAGGTAAGTCATAAATTTTTTGAGGTAACCAAAGACCAATTGTTTTTTATGCTTCATAGAGCGTTTCTAGCATTTTTGTAGCTTCATCAGCTCTATCAGAAATTATAACATCGGCAAATCTTAGGTGGTTTAGATCCTCTCCATTTATATTAATTTCCATATTATCCTCTTGTACCATTTGCTTGGACATATATTCGAGTACAGCTGTAAACGCCTTTACGCTTATAGTCTACGAATATAAGAAAGATAGGCTTGTATTCTGTGTACTTTTCTCTAAGCGTTTTAGTAACTTGTAGATGATTATTTGTTCCGTATCTGGAGCGGAATCCAGCCCGCTCGCAATGTCATTAACAATCCAGTTTGTTCACAAGCCGTTTTGTTATTATCTTCTTGAATAATTTGTATGTATGAGAGAGTTCAAGGCACATGAAAACCTCTTGCTTATATTTGAACGAAGGATCCTGAGAAGAATATTCGGTGACATCTGTGAAAAAGGTGTTTGTTGGAGAAGGAGGTACAAATACGAGATATATCACAGATATAAACATAATATTAATTTGGTGGTAAAGACATAGTATCTCTTATAAAAATATAAAGACCAAGATGGGCAGGACATCTGGCAATATCACAGCAGAACAACCCTCCTAGAAGAATCCTTATGTCACAACCTGTGGGAAGTAGAAGTAGGCCAAAACTCAGATGGAGGGATGGTGTAGATGAGGATGGTAGAAAAAGGGGCGCAGCAAACAGGCAACAGTTGTCAATGGATAGAACTTACTGGCGTAATAGACTTGGGAAGGTCGAGGCTCTTTTATAGGGCTGTAGCCACTGATGATGATGATGGGAGAGCAAACTAATAGGTCTGTAGTTCTTCAGGTCTGAAATGTCACCTTTTTTGTGCATTATGGTTATTATTGCATTATGCCATTGGGATGGAGTTACACCTCTTGTCAAACAAACATTGATCTTTTTCAACACATCTTTAGTAGCTTGGGTGAGTTTATCCTCCTTGTTTTTTTTCCTTTTTCTTTATATTTTCTATGAGTTTTTAATCGCAGTATTTGCTCTCTCTTCTAATGTTGAATATGATAACAACTGGGGAAAATAGACCAAAATGATGTAAACTGTGACTGTGGGAAAATACAAAATATGGATCATCTTCTTATATGCCGAAACTGTCCCCATCGGTGTACTCTCGAAGATTTGTGGCTTGCTAACTAATATGGAATCGACGTAGCCCGACACCGCATCGGGGTGAATGTCACAAATGACATGTCAGGACAGGATAAAATAAAGCAAGTATTGTGATGGACTATGTACCTTGTCATATAATACTTAAGAGGATGATAAAGCACCAACAAAGAGTAAAATGATAGATTGGTTAAAATCTAGAAATATTCTTTTTCCTACTAACATGGTCAGACTAGACCTATATGTCATTAAAAAATTATATAAACCAAAACATGTAAAATTTGCTATTGATTCCATTATTAACAATACGTAAAATGACATATTAAGGTTCTACGATATTATCCAGGTTTAAACCCAATAGAGCTTGTTCAGACAGCCCTAAAAGATTATATTGGAACACGAAATTTAGATTTCACTTATAATTATATTCAATAATTGTCGGATGAGTTCTTCGAAATATTTTCCAGAGAATAATGGAAAAAATTTGTAGACATAAGTGAAAATTACGGAGAATGATTTCTTTCAAAGAAGTCATGATTTGATGCTGGGAAGATTCAGACAGAAAAGATATATTCTCAGACTCAGACACATGACAGAGATAAGTATTTGATTTAATTCCAAATTCTATTTTTTATTATCAGTCCGTCTTTTTTATAATTTATATAATTGTGTACGACACAATGGGAAATAAACAATTCAGGGAAGCTTTGTTCTCAGTGCTAACACTACTTCAAGTCTTCTTGACTCGTCTATAAAACAGACTTCATGGGAAGTCTGTTTTATAGATTTTGAGAAGGCGTCTGATAGGGTTCAACATGGTAGGCTGTTTGAATATCTAGAAATGATTGGAATAGATGATAGAGATCTGAGACTTTTACAAAATCTATATTGGAATCAACAAGCTTCTATTCTGGTAGACGGCAAAGAAAGAGACAACATTTGTATTCAAAGAGGTGAACTTACAGCTGAGAATTAAGTTCCTAAAATGTTATGTGCATCCTGTATTACTGTACGGATGTGAAACCTGGATTATGGAGGTTAACATGATGAACAAATTAGAAGCCTTCGAGATGTGGTTATATCGTAGAATGCTCAAAATATCATGGGTTCAACACATTTCAAACAGAGAAGTCTTGAACAGATTAGGTCTAGGTGAAGGTGACTTAATAAAGATGATAAAAAAGAGAAAATTCGAATATCTGGGGCATATAATGATAGGAAGCAGATATAGGATAATGCAGTTGATACTTAACGGAAAGATTGACGGAAAAAGAGGAATTGGTAGGAAG